GGTTAACCCTGAAAAGGAAGATAGAGCTCTTTTAGGCATGTGTTCCTGCTCCTGCTCTCCACATCTAGCTCCTGATGTGGCTGACAAATAGGCCAGTCTCCTCACTGGGACTGTACAGTCCCAGGGCGGGAGGAGTCATGGATCGCGATGAGGAAGGCAGACTGGATTCTCATCTTCAATGACCAAAGCAATCCTTGGTTCCCAAGGTGCCCGCTCCTCTGCAGACAAATGCACCAGGTGCCAGGTGTTCCCCCTCAGGGGTCTCCACACGCCTTCCCCCCCCCCCCAGCAGTGTGTCCCTCCTGCCATCATGGCTCATCATCTTGCCCCACCCCCCCAAACCCCGCACTTCCACTTGTCTACACACCACTTACTCACTCACTCACTCCTCGGCAGGTGTGTGAAAGTGTCATCAGTGGGCTCAGCTGCAAGTCACAGGGGACCAGGAGCTTCCTGGGGCTCTGGGAGCCCCTTTCAGCGTAAGGGACAGTACACTGATGTCCTGGGTGGGTGGTGATGAGGAAGAACTCCCAGGATGCTTCTGGTCTCTGCTGCATGGGGTGAGTGAGGGGAAGGGGACTGACACCCAGAGAGCTGGGGCTTGGCTCACTCCCAGCCCCCTCGGGCTCCTGCAGAGAGATCATTCACCTCCTGTTTGTGGCACTGTACTCTCACCATGCAACGCACAGCCTCATGGCCTAGCGGGGGCCTCCTTAGCCTTCAGCGACTCACTGTCCTGTGTCCCTGATGTCCTCAATGTGTAAAGGACACAGTGGCACTGACATCACCAGGGCCACGTAGGAGGACAGGCCATGTCCCAGAGAAGGGCAGAATCTCAGTGACGCTGCCACACTGGCCATGCTGGACCTGGACCCCTGTCCATGACTCCCACTCTGACCCCTCTTGCCTGATTGGTCCTCCTGGCTTTCTGGATGGGCTGGTATAGGCAAGTCAGGATTCTAGTCCAGCTGGTGGGGGATGTGGAGGAACCATGATGACACTGGGCTGGAATGTCACATGCCTGAGACTGACCCAAACAGGGAAGTGGCACTGGCAGGCCGAAGTGTCCTAGAGATCCTGGGTACCCTGTACAGACACACACACTGTGCCTTGTGTTTGCCATCTGCCCTTGGTCCAGAGCAAGCCCTTCTTTGAGCATGAGGCCAGGCAGAAAAGCCTTGGCTGTCCACAGGCCTGAGTAGCCTCTGCTCCCGCCCCTGCCTGGCCGGGGGCCCATAGGCAGGTCCTGTCTCTGATGGGGACCAAAGTTGACAGCGCTGCCATTGCCTGATGGTAGGAGTACATGTGATTGCCCATGCCAGGGAGGCCTTGGTAAGTGCCTGGGGGTGGGCTCTTCACTGGTTCTGAGTGCGTGACCTTCCAGGGTGCACCACTGGGCACTCTGGTCTGTGCTCAGCAGCCACCACATTGCGTGGATTAGAGTTAAAACCGCATAGAGCTGAGGTACCAAAAGTGCATTTGTTTAAATTGCTGGTGCGTGTGTGTGTGTGTGAGAGAGAGAGAGAGAGAAAATGCTATCTTTTTTTTTCTGGGGGGATAGGTAAAATTTTTAAAAAATGTTTCTAGTTTAGATTAGTTTAAAAAAGTAAAAATAACGAAGTGGTACAAGCAGTACTGCCATAGCCGACACTCAGCTTCCTCTATTATTAACCATCTCAGACTGGTATGATGTATTTGTCAACATTAGTGAAACACACCCAGCTTCCCTATTGGTTTTAAAAGATTTGTTTATTTTGAAAGTCAGAATTACAGAGAGAGAGGAGACACAGAGATCTTCAATTCAGCGTTTCACTCCTCTGATGGCCACAGCAGCCAGAGCTGGGCCAGGTGGAATGGAGGTGCTTCGTTTGTATCTCCTGCACGGGCTTCAGGGATCCAAGCACTTGGGCCATCCTCTGCTGTTTTCCTGGGCACTCTAACAGGGAGCTGGATCAGAAGTGGAGCATCTGGGACAAGAACAGGTGTCCACTTGCAATGTTAGTGTGACAGGCAGCAGCTTAACTTGCTATGTCACCATGCTGGCGCCACTGTTGGCAATTTGTAAACCCGATGAGGGACAGGCTTCTTGGAATGTACTCTTGCAAAGCAATGAGGTTTAAAAAAAATAAGAATAAGTTGAGGCTAGGAAGATGGTTCTTGGAAGAGGGACATGGCTAAGAGGTACCTGGAGAGCTGCTCACGCTCACTGGTTACTTAGAGAAACACACACTAAAATCACCTGGAGGTGATGTGTGTGCCTTATGTCAGTCCAGTTGGTGATTGTTAAATGCTGGATGATGCTTTGGAGGGCTGGCGAGGAAGGGCTTTGGAGTTTGTTAGAACAAGTGCTCTGGAAGCATCTTATCCAGTGTTACTCAGCTGAAGTGAGCGGGCAAACATGCCTGACTCAGTTCTGGAGCTCCTTGGGCACATCCCTCGGCAGTCACGTGCAGTGTGGAGACTGGCCCAGGAACGTCCAGCACTGTAAGCAAGGCAGGGCTTGGCATGCAGGAAACCAATGACCATCTAGCCAGATGTCCCTTGAAGCAATGGGTAGCAGTCAGAGGAAATGGGAGACCCCCCCCCCCCAGGGAGCCCTGTGTTAAGTTGGAAGCTGTGATGTGGAGTGAAATGGGAGCTGCAAAGGGATGCTGATGACACGGAGCCATGTATGTAATCAACAGCCACAGGAGGTCCCAGGCTAGTGGAACATGACCTGCCTAGCAGGTGCACCGGCAAGCTGGGGAAGAAGGCAAAAAAGTCAGGAGCAGAGGTCCTGAGAGCGAATGGCCAAGGGGCAAGGCCAGGGAAGACCCCATTCAGATCAGGACAGAGACCAGTCTTTCTTCGAGGGTCAACCCAAAAACAGCAACTCCACTACTAGCCCCTAGCCAACCACCCAGCAAATGCAAAGTATTAATGAGATGTTTGACTCAGTAGTATTAGGAGTGACTTTCAATCAAACAGACAAAAGCTGTAACATCACCAGTCACTTTTCTGGGTAGGCACACTTTTTACATTCTTGAAGCTATTTTATTCTTTCCCAACATTCTGCAATAAGCTTTTATAGTAGGATAATGCTTGCTGATGAACACTGCCCTTCCAGGAGTGCCTGAATCCTCACTGTGAGATGGCATTGGCAGGCCTTCAGCATCCCCACCTTCCACTGACACTTCGTGAGTGTGTCCAAGCGTGTGTATTCGTGTCATCAGCATCATGTCATACTCCTGACCACGATTTTCACAAGTTTCACAACCACAATTGCATCGTGACTCTGCTCAGCCTACACCACCCCCAGCCCTGTTCTCAGCCTCAGGGGCCATTGATCTGCCTGCTGGTCGTGCTGACGTTCAGCTGGTTTATTTCTGAGGTTGGCCTAAATAGGTTTCTTAAATGGTGGGCTGCAGTGTCTCCATTTTTTTTTTTACTTGGCGTGTTGCACTATTTCTGCGTTTCTGTTTTTATGGCTGTGTAGTATTCCGTTGTATGTATTTAAAAAGCAAGTGATTTCCAAAAATGAATCTGAGACAAGGATGCAGGTGCAGTGGAAGAACTGCCAGAGACATGCAACTGTGTGCGCAGACAGGGTAGGAAAGTTTCAGGGAAGGGGGTGTTATCCTTGTCAGGTGACTGGGGCTAACTCCCATTCCCGCTGTGGTCGGCACTGCTGCAGCTCAGGGCACCAAGGAGGGCACCTGTGCGCTTCTCCATCTGCTCTTTCTTGTGGTCCTTGGAGGCCGGCCCGACTCCAGCACACACTCCCATGAGACCACCCTGAGTCTGGGGAGGGCAGTGTGCAGGGAGCTGAGCCAGTCTGATCTTACCCTGGAGTTTACTCCACCTCAGACAGCCCACAGAACAAACCTGTATGGAGTTTGTCAATGCTAGCTGAATCATGAAGTCGAGCACACAGATACTGGTGTTCTCTGGGTATTTTCATCGGGGGGGGGGGCGAAGGAGGGGTGGCTTTCTTACATGCCACCTGCTGCCTCCAGGTTTCTGGCTCGCAACAATTGCTCCTGAGTGCAGTCAGGGAGGGGAATTCCTGTCACCTATTGGGGAGGAGACTTCGGGTGCCATTTTGAGGACAAAGTCCCTTGAAAGTATGGTGTGGCCCAGATAATGTGGATAATAACGAATCTCTCTCCTTTTAGACTCCAGGAAGAAGGAAGTTGTAATTGGAGGTGGCCACCTGCTTCTACAAATACTCAGAAAATGTCCCTTTTATTAACTCAGACTTCAGAAAAAGAAGTGGTTTTAAGTCATGCAAAAAAAAAAAAGTTTTTTTACAAAAAAAAAAGTTTTTTTGGCACAGGCTTGCAATTCAACTTGACGTTTGGCTGTCTGTATGCCTTTGGCCCTGTTGATTCTCCTTTCTTTTTTAATTTGGTAGAAATTGATTATTTTTATTGGAAAGATAGATTTACAGAGAGAAGCAGAGATAGGAAAAAAGAGCTTCCATCCACTGGTTTACTTCCAAAATGTCCAAAATGGCTGGAGCTGGGCTAATCTGAAGCCAGGAGCCAGGAGCTTCTTCTGGGTCTCCCAATGCGGGTGCTGTGTCCCAAGAACTTTAGCCATTTCCCACTGTTTTTCCAGTCCACCAGCAAGGAGTTGGATCAGAAGTGGAACAGCCAGGAATAGAACTGGTGACCATATGGGATGCTAGAACTGCAGGTGGAGGGTTAGCTTGCTGAGCCATCATGCTGGCAACCAATTCTTTTCTTATAGGGAGAATAGCAGACTCTTCATGAAGAGCTCAGCACAGTGCCTGGGACAGCCTGTGAATTCCTATCAATCACATCTAAATCTGAAACTGTTCAAAAAAAACAAAAAAAGGGCCTTCCTTATTTTTGTCAGTTTCAGCTTTTTAGAGGAGCCCTCTGCAATAGGAACTAGACTGAGTGAATATGGCCCTCCCACCCCTCCCCCGGTCTCCCTGCCAGAGTCACCAGGAAGTGATGTGACAGGCGTTGTCATTTTTGTCTGTTTGTTCCCAGTTCAGACCTGCTTGCCCAAGGCATGGAGGGAAAAGAACTTCTGGAGGCTGAGGACAGAGCGGACAGCCCAAGTTCCAGAAATGAAGACCAGCCTGAGGCCTCACGTGGAGGGCAGGTCCTTGGCCCGGCTGCCCTCTGGGACCTGCTGGAAAAGAAGTTTCTGGAATACCAGCAGTTGACTTACAGGAGCCCCGAGGAACGCCGGGAGAGCCTGCTGAGTCTTCTTCCCCTGTTCCTAAAGGTCAGAATTATGTTACAAAATTTCGGATATTATTCGACAAATAGTGATTGTGCATCCTTATGTGGTACAGTGTGTTGTATCTTTAATTTTTTTTTTTCTTTATTTGAAGGATGGGAGGAAGGAGAGTGAGAGAGGTTTCCTAACCAAATACCCTGAACAGTCAGGGCTGGGGCATTCTGAAGCCAGAATCTAGGAACTCCGTCTCGTGTAGGCAGCCGACACCAAGCACCTGAGCTGTCACTTGGTGTCTCCTACGATGCTCATTAGAAGGAATGTGGATCAGAAGTGGAGCCAGGCCTGGGACCCAGGTCCTGCAATAAGGGAGACAAATGCCCCCAGTGGCATCTCAGCCGTTATTGTGCTCAATACCTGTCCACCATATACTAATATGTACATGTACCTGATGCATATATGTACATCATATGTGATGTATGTAACATATATGATCAAATCACAACATGTATTCAACATCAACATATCAAACATCCTTTCTTTGCGGTGACTGTATTCAAATTCTTCTAATGATACAAGTACCTCAGGAAGTTTGCAGAAATGGAATTAAAAGATGAATTTGTCAGTACAAAAAATTTTAAATTTATGCATTTTTCATAATATGCATTTCTGTGAACTTTTCAAAAAGATGTCGAATAGCTAAATGTCAAATTTTGAGCTTCAAAATAATTGTCTTCTATTTTCAAAAAGATTTACTTGAAAAAAGAGGAATAGAGAGAGAGAGGCTTCCCATTTGCTGGTTCACTGGCTCACCCCTTAAGTGGCTGGAATGGCCCTGGACAGGTGGAAGTCAGGAGCCAGGAATGCCATCTGGGTCTCCCACATGGCGGACAGATGCTCAGACACTTAAGCCATCTTCTTTCGCTTTCCCAGACATTAGCAGGGAGTTGGGTTGGAATGGGAACAGCTGGGACTCAAACCAAAACTGTGACATGGGATACTGGTTGTAGGCGCACCGCAAGCCCAGTCCCAAGATACTTAGATGGTAATTCCACTTCCCACCAACTTTCTGAAGTACCTTGTGTTTTGAAATGCTTGCTACTGATGGTTAGTTAGAGTCATTGCATGTTATCATTTTGAGCCTGGAGGAGGTGACACTGTTTTCTGGGGGACCACCAGACACTGAGGATGGAAGGTTTGCTGGCCTCTGCTTGGTTGCACAGAGGCAGCTTGTTACAGGCGACTGCAGCCGAACACCTCGGATGGGCTGGGTGATACACAGAGGACACTCACTTCTTGAGGTATGGAGCCTGGGACGGCCAGATCTGAGTTGTGGTGAGGGCTCCCATTCCGGCCTCTGGGCAGCATCTTCTTTCTGCAATTGCATGTGGTAGGAAGGGAAGGGATCTCTCTCCGGCTCTTATTGGACGGGACAAAGCTCATTCCCACGGATAAAATCAGATCACTTGCCCAGGCTCTGGTCTCCTAGTCCCATCACCATAAGGATCAGGATTTCAACAGAGGCATCGGCTGGTGGAGAGGGTGGGGCAGGATGGCCATTCAACCTCTGGCAATAGTACTATGCCATTTGCGGGCCAGCGGCAGGAAGGGGCATGGCTTGGCGAGGACAGAGGGTTCCTCAGTGTTTCTGTCTCTACCACACAACCCAATCCCGGGGTGGGAACCAGATGAGAGGCCGGTCCCTCTGGGAACAAGGAAAGGAAGATGTATTTTGCCGATGAGTCTCAGGAGTGGCTGGTGACCTCCCACTCCAAGGCCAAGGCCAAAGCCTAACCGAACCAGGACACCTTGCACCCCACTGGGTCTAACTAGCGGGGGACACCATGGACACACTCCCGTCCCCAGTCCTGCAGCCAGTGCCAGCTTGGGAACAAGAGATTTCCTTTGTTTTCTGGGAATAAAGCTTTGTCTGTGAGCTCTGCCTGATGTTTATGTTCAAAGTTTTGTTGTAGAGTTGAAAGTGTCTTTTTTTTTATGAGGCCTAGTTTTTGTTTGAACTTTTTAAACATGTATTTGGGCATTTCAAGATACATTTCAGATTTGAAAGTGGAGGAGGACAGGTGGAGACTCTGTCGGGTCATCCGTAAGACACCCAGTTTTTACTTTTCATGAAACTTACGCCTTTCACCAGAGAAGCTTAAAAAGTTTCCAAAGATGATGCGAGGTTTTCTCAGGATCTTATTTATAGGAGGCATTGCATACCTTAGCATCACTTTCTGTTTAAAAAAATCCTAAGGAACTTTCTGCTTGCTAGTTGATGGTTTTCTTCCATGTTTAGGCTCACCATCCATCACTTTTAAAAGACAGGGTGTGGGGAACATACGGGAAATGTAAAGCCAGACTGGGAGGGAAGGCTCACCTGCCCTGATGAAGGGTTCATGTTAGCTCACATCTACTAACCCCGCATGCTAGGGTGGGTGGGTAGGTCAGGGTGGGCCAGAGCTCCCAGATCCACTGTGTTTCTGAAGAAGACAGTGAGAGCAGCCGTGCTATGGCTGCAGTGTGTCTCCCGAGACTCCTGGTGACATTTGATCATGGTGATGGTGTTGCAAAAGGTGGGGTCATGAATAAATGCCCTGACTTGCATCTCTCTCTCTTTTGCACCTGGCTGGGCAGCCCTCAGCTCAGAGGATAAGACTCTACTCCCAGGAGCTAGGCCTTGTTTCTCCATTTCTCCTTATTACTGAGTTAGGAATTCATTCCAGTGTTGGGCACACACACTCTAAGTTCTTCGAAGCTGTTTCAGGGTGGTGAGGAACCCAGACAGAGAGTGGTTCTGCCATCATAGGGAGGGGGTGCTATTTGAGGCAGAAGATGCTGAATGCCACATAGAATGTATTTCTTTGGAGCTTCAGGAGTCAAAAATGAACAAGTAGGAATGATCATGTTTTTAAACTGGAAAGTTTGCACATGAACATCAGGTTGCCAGTTTCTCTTGAAAACAATGATAACCACATGGATACTGACAGTAGAAGGAGTGAGGCAACCCTGTTAGAAAAAAGATGTTCTTTGACTCCCAGCTGACAGAGTCTGCCACTCCCTCAAAACGCTCACCTGACCCATGTTCCTCACTGATGGTCTCTCACTCAATGGGGCCATGCAAGCTTGCAGCCTCATGGGGGGCGATTCCTATCACAATGGACTCTCCAAAGGGTCTTTGGTTCCCAGAATCAAGTCCAGTTATTGGAGGTATAGCAGCCCTGCTTCTGAATATAGGAGCTTTTATTCCTCTTTATTTGAAAGGCAGATTTTAAACACAAACACACACACAAAGAAAGGAGAGACAGAGAGATGTTCCATCCGCTGATTCACTCCCCAAATGGCTAAATTGGCCAGAGTTGGACTGGTCTGAACCTGGGAGCCAGGAGCTTCCTCTGGGTCTCTCATGTGGGTATGGGGGCAAAAGGACGTGAGCCATCCACCTCTGCTTTCCCAGGCCATAAGCAGGGAGCTGTATCAGAATTGCAGCGACCAGCACTTGAACCAGCATCCATGGGGGATGCTGGCACAGCAGGCAGAGTCTTATCCCATTACACCATGGTACCAGCCCTAAACATGTCCATCAGAGCCTTGTTCCCACTGTGCATCCTTGGATCAGGACTGCATGTGGTAGAGCCACAAGTTCTTGATCTGTAAGGGGGAAGCAGTGACACTCTTGCCGGAAAACTTCAAAGGTGAGATAAGATTGTAAAGCCCTGCAGGTGAAAAGCCAGTGTGTTTCTCCTTACACAGCCAGGAGCCTCCAGGACTCCGGCAGCACCTGAGCCTGAATGCGTACGGTTGCACCACCTTGATTCTGATGCCCCACACTGCTGACATAAGATTTTTCTCTGGCTCCCTGGAGCCCACCTCTGACAACCCCTGTAGAGGCAGAATATTGCAGGCTTCTTATCATTTTCTTAATATCTATAGTCTTTTATTAAGTCCCGTGGGCTTACATACTTGTTGTTTCCATTATGTTATGGCTAATGAAACCCAGCCAGAGCCCTGAACCTTCTGAATTAAGGGTTGGTAGTAGAAGGTGGGGGATTTTTCTCAGACATGGTGCAGATAAAGGTCGAATGTAGAAAGTTGAAAATAGATGTGGTGGAGATGAAGACTGAATATTCATCGGCACATAGACCCTGTGTTAAAAAGTCAAGGTTGTAGTCATGCTTCTGAATTCTGTACTCGTAGAGTAAGATCCTTCAAAATTGTCTTAGAAATAGCAGAGCCTAAATCATTAGGCTATTTCTTGTAAACTTCAGTTATTAACGTCAAAGTGTTGGTTGTCATGGAAACCTCACCCCACCTGGGCTCCTCTGAAAACGTCCTGAATCACTTTGCTTGACGGAGTCTGACTCTATATCGGATAGCTTTTACGTTGAGTCCAAGGAAAATTAAGACGATCCGGAATATTCTTTGTTCTAAGGCAGTGTACATGCAGGTAGTTTGGATTTCTGTTTCTGCTTGGGAAACGCTTTGTCCCTGGGGCTGTGGGTTCTTGTCTGGCTGTTCCAGCACCTTTAACACCAAGGCTCAGGGTGGGATTGGTGACCGACGTGTGGTGGAGGAGAAAGTGAAGATCATTGGTCAGGGCACCACACAGTCATCGTGTGATGCCTCTGATGCTCTTGGACCTGCTGCCTTGCATCTCTCCCAGAGCACTTTGATTTTTGTTAGTTTCACGGGGAGATTAAGACAGAGAGGAGAGAGAGAGAGATTTCGTTTGGGCAGAGTTTTATTAGTCGGGGAGAGAGTCTGAGGGATTGTTCCTTGGTGGGAGGTAGTCCGGGGCCACTTCCACATGGGTAGGATGGCCCCAGGAGGGATGTGGCCACCCAGGTGATACAGCACTCATTCTTTATGCATCTTAGGTGGGAGGAAGGGAGACGGTAACACTCTCGGGTTGCACATGCAAGTGACCCGTGTAGCATTACTCGTTGTGGTGGGCTGAGACAAAGCCCGAGTGGTTCCTGCAGGCTGGTCCAGACATTCCTGGGGCGATAAGGCCTGGATGAACCCTCACCGACTTACTCTCACTCAGG